AACAAATGGTAGGAAAAAAGCACATCATCAAAGTACCAAAAAATAATCATTTAATATTTCCCTCTGGTACTTATTAATACATTGACATTTCATTTATAAGACAATCTGAACTACTTGCAACATTCTCAAAAATTAAGAAGGAACCAAAATATAAGTCTCTGGACATGTAGAGGTCATAAAGTCCGTATACTTTACTCAAAGGAGAATCCTCTAATATCCTTACTTAAGTCTCATTTACTTTACAGATACAATTTTTAAAAGATTGTTCAATAGTTTTCTTATCTGAATTTATTCTTACCTTTATCTGATCTGCTAAGAGAAGAAGCCAAGTACACAGTACATATATAAAGTATATATGGAGTGTGTCTTATGCCTTGTACATCTTAAAATAGATGAAGCTAAGGAGCTTATGTCCTCCAGGTGTTCAGTCTTGGTCCCAAAAACTCAATCATCAGGTTGAACTTCCTTTCATCCTATTTCTCTTACTTTCACACACTATGTCTTCTTGCACTCACTCTGGAAGACATTCCTGGTCTTCTTTAGAGCTGGTTGCTCCTTCTCTCATGTCTCCCGACAAACAGAGCCAGGAAAATGAGCTGGTATATTCCTTGCTCCCCACGGCTACTTCCAGCCTCTGTCTGTCATCATTAGTTAGTAACTTCTCAAGTATTCTGGCCTCCCAGTTCAGTCACTCCCTCAACTCCCATACAAGGATCAGTCCTTCTAATTGCTGTACCAATTCCATGATCTCAAACTATGAAATTCTGTTCTCTGATCACAATTTCCAATCCTTTTATCTTTCCTTTTGGATCATTCCTTCTGAACTTGATCTTTGTACACATTCCAACCTTTAATCCCACTATATGTTTCTGCTCTCAGTCCATCACTCCAGCTCTAGTTTCACTGCTCCTTACAGTCTCAACCTTAGAGCTGACTAGTTCAGCTGCATACTTTGTTCTACCTTTGAATCACTTTCACCCTTGTCATATCATTATTCACAGCTTGCCAATCCCTGGCCACAGGTTAAACCTTCTGTGTTCCTACTTCCAGGATGAAAACTGCTGAAGGAAGTCCCCATCATCTGCTACCCACAGAGCCAGTAAACTAGCCTAGCTTACCAAACAAGGAACCCTGAGGACAGATAGAAAGGAGCATGTACCAGGGAAGTCAAACCATTGCTACAACCTTGACCAGCACCCTCCCTTCAAATTCTGATAGAAAGAGCCTAAGACCCTGGGCGCAAGAATCCTAGAATAGCAGTGTCTCTTCTACCCCCACCCCATAGACTACCACCCATGTTTCCAGTCTAGTTCCTACAATCATAATCCAGTGAATGTACCCTTGTTAAGATGCCACAGGCCAACTACACTCTTGCAGGTACTATAGCCCCTTCCTTCACGGCAGATATAGCAAAAGAAGACCCAGAAAAGTCCCCAGCATTGTCAAAGGGTTCAACATCAAAAGTTGTTAAAGCTTTAACCGTGGAAAGAACATTAAAGAAGATGATAATGCATCTGTTACAACACCCTAACAACCAGAGTCATTCCATCTGACTCATAGTTGAAAATCTCCTATTTTTGCCTTCTCCCCTATTAGAACGTAAACTCCTTGAGAGAAGGAACTGTCTTTCATTTCTATTTGTATCATCAGAATTCAGTACGGTGCTTAGCACATAAGAGCTTAATGAATATTTTTTCCAATCATTCTCTCTTGAATTCCAGTGTTGTATTATCAATTGCCTATTGGGCGTTCTCTTGGCAAGGCAAGGAAGGAAGGAGAGAGAGATGGCCAGGGATTGGCAAGCTGTGAATAATGATATGACAAGGGTGAAAGTGATTCAAAGGTAGAACAAAGGGAAGAAAGAGACAAAATATTTATAAAGCACTTACTATGTACCAGGCACTGTTCTAAGTGTTGGGCAGACAAGCACAAATACAAGCAAGCAAGACAGTACTTGTCCTCTAGGATCTTACATTGTAATGAAGGAAGATAATACATAAAAGCATACTGGAAAAGAGGTGGGAGGTGAGGAAATGTGAACAGACTAAAAGCTAGCTCCCATATTCCATGCCTGGAATATACCCCCTTCTTCATTTCTGCCTCTTAGAATCCTTTAGAGTTCAGTTGAGGTACCACCTAATCTGCGAAGCCTTTTCTAATCAGTCCAGTAATTAGTGTTTTCTCCTTCCTATTACCTTGCTTTTCCTTTTCTGTGTATTAAAAAAAAAAGGCAGAATTGTAGAGGCATTTAGTCCCTGTCTGTAGTCCCTGACGACATTAAGTACTTAAATGCTCTGTTTAGGAAGTTAAGGATGGATGTTATACATTTTGGAAAATCTTCCATCTAAAATGGTTAATCTAACAAAAGGCTTTTTGTCTTTTTAAAAAATATATTTTAAGAAAAAAAAAGATACAAGCCATAAAGTATATTTCCCCTGAGCAAAACATAACAAAAAACTGAATACAAAGGAATTGCTTGTAACCCTAGTGATTGTGGGTGTTGCTGGAAGGTACAGTTGGTCACATCTTCATCTCCTTAACACTGGGAGATTTAATCAGTCACCACCTCTTATAGCAATTAGCTCCTTTAAAAAAATAGTAATATAATTGCTCCTCGGGTCAATGGGGTTCCTTGTTCTGTTGTATTATGGAGTTTATATTAAACAAAAAGTTAGGAACACAATCACAATTACTCAGTGCCCTCAGTCAGGAAAATTCCTAACATTTAGGCAAAAGTCTAGCTTTCTGCACTAATTCAATATTTTTTATTTATAACTAACCCCTAGTCTTTTTACAGTCAAAGCAAATATTTAGGTAACCAGAAATGCTGTAGATCTACATCAGTACAGAATTGTGGAGGAAGAGCAAACTTTCATAGAGGCAGTGTGGGGTTGTGGATAGAGGGCTGGATTTGGAGTTAGGAAGACCAGAGTTCAAATCCCATCTCAGACACTAACTAGATGTGTTACTCTGTGCCTCTGTTTCCCTATCTATAAAATGAGAGTTTGACTCAATGGCCTCTAAATTCACTTCAAGCTGTAAATCTATGATACTATGTTCTATGTTTCTCCAAAAAAAGAAAGATGCTGAAAGTTTCAATTATCTAAACAGTTTTCATCAAGTGATTTGTTGGTATCACTGGAGATGTGAGGCATAACAGAGTTATAGTGAGGATAAAATAACCATAACATCGACTCTCCTTATTAACGCTAAAGCACATTACTGCTTTTACTTAACTGGCACAATGTTCAAACAAATAATGTAAGAGGTTAACCTCATCACACATGATAGAAGCTACACTATCAGAAATCCCCCAGTCAGTAGAGTTTTATTCATTGCCTGTTAGCTAATTTTGCTCTTCTATAAGGTTTACGTTAGAGGCCATTTAAAGAAAATTGTCACCATCTGAGTTTTAGGGACCCCGATATACCTCAATACACATAAGTACAACAATCTGAACACAAGAATACCCATCTTCGGGGGCAGCTAGGTGGTGCAGCAGATAGAGCACCAGCCCTGAAGTCAGAAGGACCTGAGTTCAAATCCACCTCAGAGCAAACACTTGACACTTACTAGCTGTGTGACCCTAGGCAAGTCACTTACCCCCAATTGCCAAAAAAAAAAATACACATCTTCCCCAAACCAACAGTAACATGAAGAAATTAGAGTAATTATGATACCCCACTAACAATGATTGCCAATCCTGTTTTCTGTAAATGTAAAATATTTTATCACTCACAGAAACCATACACATCATATCCCACACACATTATATCAACCTCCCTCCTGCCCTCCCAGCTGAGAAAGCTACTGTTGCTTCCAATTGTTTAGCACATAGCAAGCCCTTAATAAATACTTGTGCATTGATTAATTGATCATGCATAGTATACAACCAATTCCCTATTTCTCAGTTTTTGCTACTCCTAATTAAACTGGCAATTTTAGCAGTCTGGAGACTACACTTTTCAATCACCTCCATAAGAAATCTCAACTTAGTTTCTTTTTCTCCTCAAATTTATCTCATTTCATTATAGTTCTCTCTACTACTTCTCTAGTTTGGCATGAGAGAATACAAAATGAATTCTAGCCCTCAGATACAATATCTATGGATGCCATCTTATAAATCACCAGAAAAGGGAAATTTTAATTATATTTTTATCATCAAATGCTTTCAGCCTTTTGTGGTCAAGGGTAATTCTATTCTAACCTTTTTTTTAAAATTCTCAGATAATTGAGATGATCCTACAGATCAAAATCTTTCATTAAAACACAAATGCAGGCAATATTCACTACCATGATAAAGTACAAGATATGGACAATTGGGGCTCACACCTAACATCAAACTGACTTGTAAGTCAGGTGTTTCAATCTCACCTATTATGAATCTACCAGAGAAAAAGAAGTAAAATTAATTAGGTTTGGATTTCATCTCCTCTTTTCCCCTAAGCTCTACTGGAGGGCTTAAGAAATAATGAAATGGCCAAAAGTGAGCTACCACAGGGAAAAGTAGCAATGACTGAAAAAAAACCAAGTTGTCAGAACCTAAGTGCCTAAGCTATAGTGAAATAATAAACAGCTTAAATATAATAAATACTCTTGATAAAGAATGGGGAAATGAAAAGTAAGCAAAAAGCAGTTATCAGATTTCTTCTCCAAATACAAGAGACCAATACTTTCCTGTTGTTTTATAAATCTTTTGATATTGTATAACATACTAAGGATGGGGCAACAAAATAAATGTCACTATTGACTCTGACTCTTTCCTCCTCCTCCAAAATGAAAGACTGGTTAACGAAAATTAATCAAGTCAATTAGTCAGAAATGTTTCATCTGAACACTAGCCAACATTAATTACAAACACATCTGAAGTGAGCAGCTAGCTAGGAACACAGGGCAGAAAAAATAAAATGTATCAGCTCAAACATTTTAAAAGTTAACTGCAGACTGTACAAAGGCCTAGTCTGATAAAAGAATCTTTGAAATAAGAAGAAAATACTTACATCTTAATTTGTCCAGCATTTTTCCACCACACATAGTTGCTAACATAGCTTTAACTGAAAATACCGTCAACTTTCCTCGGCCCTCACTGCAAAACAAATTACATTAGAAATAATTGCTACCTGGAGCCATTAAGTCAAATAAACAAACTGAATTAATAAAGAAAAAACAACCAGTTAATCTGTATTGGGCTGTCAATCCACATGTGATAGAAGTTTCTCAAAGTTCAAGTATTACTCAAGTATTTTCTGGAATTCTTGGAAACACTGGATTATTCTCAAGCTGAGCCATGGCTTCTTCTAAACTAACACAATAATACTTAGATTAATAAAAGTAATTTGATAGTGAATTTTTTAAAAGGCCATAACAGCTAATGAAGAGAGACTGGACACCTGTAGTTTCACTGTTATAGGGAACTCTCAGGTAAGAAAACTCCCCTCTACCAATTCAAGTAAGCACCTGGTCTGCAACTTACTGTCTTGGAGGACAGAGAGGTTAGAGGCTTAGAGGACTGAGAAGTTAAATAACTTCAGGGTCATACAACCAGTATTTATCAGAGATGAGACTTGAACCCAGACCATCCTGGCTTTGAGATCAGCTCACTATCTACTATACCACAATACCTCTCTTGCTTTAAAAGCACCATTTGGGCATTATTCACATTTGACATTATACAGATAGACAGATGAACAGGCATTTCAACCTAGTCATAAAGAAATTTGTATACATGACATGTTATTGGCGTAGAAAAGCAAAAAGGATATTAATGGCAATGAGTGTGAATATGGACTAATGATACATTAAATTCTTCATTATTTATTGCCTTCAAAGGATTAACAATAAAATATAATGAAAGAGCTAAGGCAAACAAAGAAAGTGAAGAATGGTCAAGGCACACTCTTAGCTGGAATGGTTTCATGCACACTAATCTGTCACCAATCTGGCTTCTGTCTCAACCAAATTGCTCTATCTAAGGTTACCGATGGATATCATTACTGCCACTTCTAGTCTTCATCCATTCTAACCCCTGCAGCATTTAACACTGTCGACAATGACCACCACTTCCTCCTCCTCCTCTTCTTCTTCTTCCTCTTTCTCCCCCCTATCTTTTTCCCTCCCACCCCCTCCCAGCTCATCAGTTCCTTTGGCTTAAACTATCAGCTCTATATATATAACTTTCAAATCTATACATCCAGCCCTAACCTCTTCTGAGATTCAGTCCCATATCTCCAACTGACTATTAGACATTTCTACTTGATTGTATCATGGGCATCTTAAACTCAACATGTCTAAAAACAGAATTTATTATCCCCCACCCACCCTGACTTACCCCTCTTCCTCATGTAACTATTTCTATTAAGGGCACCAACATTCTTCCATTTATCTATAAAACAGCTTTGGAGAATATGGGTGGGAAAGAAGGGATAGTGACCATGTTAATATATTTTTGGCAATTAAATAAATTAAGACTAAAGAAATTAAATGAGCGTATTATCTCAGGTTTCCTCTGGAACCTTATTCTATTATTACCTTGCTCATTCCCTGGCATCTTCAATTTCTCCCTGTGTTAACTCAATTCCTTCTGCCTAAAAATATTAGATTTCACCATTCTAAAAAAGCTAATATAACAACCACTACCTTAACTTTACTTTGCCCTCAAGGCAGCTATTTGGTATGGTGGAAAGACGGCTCAGCCTGGAGTCAGGAAGACCCAAATTAAAGTCCCATTTCAGACACTTACATGTCCTCGGGTAAGTCAACTGACCTCTGTTTGCCTTGGTTTCCTCAACTACAAAATGAGGAAAATAACAGCACCTACTTCCCAGGGTAGTTGTAAGGATCAAAGGAGATGATATTTGTAAAGTGCTTAGCACAATGCCTGGCACATAGTAGGAATAATACAAATGCTAGCTATCATTATTAAATTATCATCTACTATTTCTACATACACACACACACACACACACCCCAATGCCAAATTCCCACTAATCAACAAGCACTTAATTAAAGTCCTTAAAAAGAAATCTACATTTCCATTTCCTAATACACTCAGTTTCCTGCAACTTTACTTCCATACCCAGAATTCTATTTAAACTGTTTCCTCCAAGATAGCCTTTTCTCAGCTGTCATCCTCCCTGACTTTTCTAAAACAAATCTCTACTTTAAAATAATCTCTCCTCTCTCAGTTTCCATTATAATACTTTCTCTATGTTTTTCATTCTTCTACGACCAATGATTAGTTATCATTTGTGTCCTTCTCTCCTCATTACATTCTGTCACTTGGCAAAAAGTATTTGTTGCCATTGCTTCATTATCCCCTCTACATTTTTAACTAAAATATTTCCCCATAATGAAAATTCCACATCACCAACTGCCTCATGCTCATCTCCAACAAAATGTGCTACAAATATTTCCAACTCAATACTGTAAAAATCAAACTCAGCATCTTTCCCACAAGACTCATCCCTTCAACCAGTCTCCTACTGCTGCCACCATTCTCCTGCTGACCCTAACTAAAAATCTTAGGGTGACATCATAATATAGTAAACAAAGCAATGGACTTTGAATCAGATAGACTTGGGTAAGTTATTTTTATCTTCATAATCCCACTGCCTAACTGACAGGAAGCACCACTAAAGTTGGTTAAATTTACTGAATTAAATAAGAGTACAGGGTAAAGAGCACTAGATTAAAAGTCAAGGGATCTAGGTTCAAACCTCAGTTCTACCACGTACTGCCTTTGTGACCCTGGGTAAGTTGTGTCATCTCTCTGGGGTCTCATTTACTTATATTGTAAAATGAAGAGAGTTAGACTAAATGACCTCTTAAGATCCCTATAAGAAAACTATTATCTACAGCATTACTCACTCTACCAGTTTATTAAGTCAAAGGGGAAGAGAGGGGAGTGAGGTTAGCCTGGCATAACCTGTTTTGGATAAAGCCATTCTGGCTCTTCATAATAACTGCTTCCTTATCTAAATGTTCAATAACCATTTAAAAATGATCTTTTATGGACTTCTCTCAGGAATTAACTCAATCAAGCTCACTGGCTAGTAATAATATACTTGACCCTCTTTCATTTTTTTTAATGGCATAATTGGGCAGTAGTCCTGAAAAAAAATCTAATGGTTTTAGTGAGCTGAAGTTCAATAAGAATTAAAAGTGTCATGAAGCAGATTAAAAAACAAATGCTGTCTTGGGCTGAATTAAGAAGAATATAACTTCAGGAAATAGAAGTGACAGTCCCACAATAATTCTGCCGCTGTCACACTTCATATGGAACATTGTGTTCAGTTCTGGGCACCATAGTTTAAAAAGGCCATTGATAGGTCAGAGAGTATTCTGAGGAGAGCAACTAGAAAGGGGACTTTGAGCCCATATTATATAAGGAGGGATTAAAGAAACTGGGAATATTTGGCCCACAGAAGAGAAGATTCGAGGAGGACATGGTAGCTGTTTTCAAGTGTTTAAAGGGCAGATATTAGAAGATAGATCAGATTTTTTTTTCTGTTTGTCCCCAGTGGGTAAAACCGGGAAATGGATAGAAATTGCAAAAAGGACATTTTAGGCTTGATATCAAGAAAAACTTCATTATAATTAGAGCTGTCTAAAAGTAAAAGAGACTGCCTCAAGAGGTGGGTGAGTCCTCCTACCTTGCAGGCCTTGTTGGGCATGTTATAGGAGGTATTCCTTTTGCATACAGGTTGGCTTAGATGGCATGCAGAAAGTATTAATGAGTGTTAGGGTAAAAAGCTAGAAACCAAAAGAATACACGATGTATGATCATTATTGCTGTTGATATGAAGCAAAGGACTCAGAAGATCTGGAAGGTACACAGTTGATTGAGTAGATGGGGTCAAAAAATCAAATTTAGATTTTTGGAACATGGCTTAAAATACAATACAGACTTTCTAGCTAAGGATACTTAATAGGCCCTAGAGTGTGTGTTTTCCTGGAACCCTTCCAATAACTATCGTTTTCATATTTTCTCATCCTTGCCATTCCCATGAGTGTGAAGTACAACATCAAAAATGCTTTACTTTGCATTTCTCTAATTATCAGTGGCTTGAAGCATTTTTAAAATGTTTGTTAATAGTCTGGATTTCTTCTTTTTGGGGGGAAGGGAGGACTAGGCAATGGGGTTAAGTGACTTGCCCAGGGTCACACAGCTAGTAAGTGTCAAGTGTCTGAAGCTGAATTTGAACTCAGGTCCTCCTGACTCCAAGACCAGTGCTCTATCCACTGTGCCACCTAGCTGCCACCAGATTTCTTCTTTTATAAACTACATATTCATATCCTTTCACCATTTATTTACTGGGGAATAGCCTTTGATCTTATAAACTTTAATTAGTTCCTTATATATCTTGTATATGAGATCTTTATCCAATAAGCTTAATATGAAGATTTTTTCCCCCAATTACCTGTGTCCATTCTAATTTTATCTACATTAATTCTGTTTGTGCAAATTTTTTTTAATTTAATGCAATCAAAATTACTTTTTCTTCATAACATTATCACTTTATAAATTGTTTTCATTTTGTTTCAATCCATATAAGTCTTTTCAGTTTTTTCTCTGAAACTATCCATTTTGTCATTCCTTATGTCATATTATGTTACACTGCATTCCTATACCATAATTTCTTTAGTCATCCCTCACTAGGTGAGCACCGTCTTAGTTTTCATTTTTGCTACTACAAAAAGAGTAGCTGGAAATATTTTTGTATGATAGGGTTCTTTTCCTTTCTTCAATCTCTTTGGGGTTATAGGGCTAGTAGTGGTATTGCTAAGTAAAAGAGTTTGAAGAGTTCAGTAGTATTTTCTGGCATAATTACAAATTGCTTTCCAGAATGGCTAGACCAATTGTATGTGTTTTCTTCTCACATGGAAGGGAAATTAGACTCTTCTGTTAACCTCAAAAGATAAAGATAGGAAGAACAGGAGAAAGAAGCAAAGAGACAAATTCAGACTTTGTGTCAGGGAAAGCTTTTTGACATTTTGTGCTGTATAAAAGTAGAATGGGGGGCAGCGGGGTGGTGCAGTGGATAGAGCACCGGCCCTGGAGTCAGGAGGACCTGAGTTCAAATCCAG